AGTAACATCTTTAAAAAACAGCCAAATGCAAAGTTATGCATCTGTAAAACACCAGCCCTACTATCAGAATGGGAATTGTATCATGGAAGGCAATGACTTTAAGGATTTTGGGCAGCACTGCAGATACCACGTGAGCATTTAATTCCTGACACAAGCCTGTAGCAAAAAGGACTAACAGGAGCTTTGGAAAGGAATATCAAGGAGAAAGACAGCATTCTCTTTTTATATCGCATCAGTGAGATCAATAATGGGCTGTCACCCTTCTATTCAGGGACCAGCACCTTAATACGATGCTGAAAGCCAGAAATGCTGGTAGAAATAACCACAAGCACGATCGCAGACCTGAAAGAAACACTTCAAAGTCAAGTCTTTTCCACAAAAAAGGAAAAGAGATTACTTAATTATCTCCAAAGATTATCAACTAGAAAAGTTCTTTTTAATATCTAACAAAGCAAATATACAGAAAAATACAACAACTACGAGTTCAGTCAGAAAAACTTTTCTTTTTTTTAAAGTTTCTCTTCATTTTGGAAAGTGGAGGTAATTCATGACATTAATAATTAACAAATAAGGCAACCCTGTCACTTGTTGATATTTCAATCAAAGGTTAATACATTCAGCACCATCAATGATTAGATGGGACTCTACAGCCTGCAATGACTAAGGTGTCCAAGTGCTGTACTCCTAACGGTCCTCCTGACCTCCAACATTTATTTAAAAGATGTATTGAAAATAGCACACCTAGACCATGTTATACTCACTGCCAAATTTTACTTTCAGTAACTAGAGGAATTTAGAGGAACTTCAGACTGCCATATAGCCAAGTCTCCCATTCAGGATGAGTTCTCACTAGTACGGTCAATACTAACTGTAAAACACTGTTCAAGCCTCCTTTTGCCAAACCCCAAATTCCTAAAAGCAGAAGGCGGGGGCAGCAGATAACCCCCCTGCCCCCAAAACCACGCACAACAGTTGAGGGTAGCCCAGCATTTCAGAGGTCAGGGGCAGGAGAGGAAGCCCGGCTGCCAAAAAACACACTGCCTACAGGCACCTGACATACCCGGACCTGCAGGGCAGGAGGGGGAAGGTTTACTAACCTTTCTCCACCCTTAACCCAGTGACTAGTCTCTCCCACACAAACTGCCCACTTTTTCCCCAAATCTGGGGCCAGCTTCTCCTCCCCCTTTGCCCATACCTGTGATCACCCCCATAAGCATCTGCCCTCCCACCCCAGGCCTGGTGCTCAACCCACCCTCCACATGTCCTTAGCCTGGTGGCCAGACTCTTCTCACCTCCTCAGACCTGTAGCCCAGACCCTTCACCCCCACGTAGAGCCCCCCCAAAGCCCTGCTGACCAGGCCTTCCCCACACACAAAGCTCCCCAAACCCTGCTGACACTCCCTCACACATAGCGCCCCACCC